CCCCAAAACCCCAAAACCCCAAAACCCCGTGAACTAGATTCATTAAGTTACATCAGGGTAGTTAATGATTAAAGAAATACAGTATATTTTTGTTCTTAGAAGCATTTAGACTCTACCAAATTTTATATGCCCTCTCAGGATTGATCTGCAGTAAGTCTTAAATAGTGTTAGTAGCAGATAGTTTCCCAATTTTTAAAGCCATCTCTGTGAAGTTCCTCCATCTCATGAAGGTTAAGTCTCACAAGTACCTCGTTAAAATTAGTCTTAGCACTGGCATAGAAGAACTTAGGGTACCTAAGATAAATATAATTAGTATATTATTTCATTAAAATTAACTAGGAATTTGTGTAGGTAAAGAATTAAAGTTAGTATACTTACTGAATGATGATTTTAAGTCTATGATCTTCAATATGAAGAGGCAATTTGATTCTTTGTTCCTAACCAGGTTCAAGTTTATACTAGTTTTTCTTGAGGTATTTCTCCTGTACATTTTGCAAGTTCAAGAATATTCTCCAGAAATCAGTTGCTTGGTTAATGAAAACTCTGAGCTCAAGAGCTAGAATTTAAAGCAAATCGTAGCCTTATTTCTAAGCATTCATAAGAATACCGAAATGCTCGATTAGATTAAAGAAATGGCATATTAAGTTTCTACCTGATTCCTTGTCTGCTAAAATAAGGTTGTAACCATCAACTCTCATATACACTCCTTCTTCACTAGTCTTGGCTCCTGGATTAGGGAATACTAAAGAGGATAGAGAATGACAGGTAGCTGGTTCAAGTACTCTGCTAAACACAGATTGCTGCAAATCATTGCAGTTTCTTTCAAAGATGAGTGTATTTTTACCACTTTTCTAGAATTTTTCAACAGGGTTATTAACATCTTCGCCAATCAACTCTGCAAAAGTTTCTTCAGCACTTTCTTTCCAATCACTGAACTTGCTCTACACCATAACATTAAAGCTATCTGGGTCAATATACTTCTTAAATTTCTTCTATGGCTGGGTTCCATCTAATTCGAGCGAGAAGTTTGGCATCTCTAAATAAAGAGAATGCTTTTATGGCTACCAGTCTCCCGGGCCTCCCTAAAGTATAACTAAACTAATAGCTCTACACTTTGTAAACACCTTTCTGTAAGAAGGGAATGAAAGTTTCTCTACTATCTCTTCTAACCATAAATCCTCAAAATGGAAAAGCTCTGAGCCAGGTTTTCTGACTAGACTCATTAATAGGGCTTTCTCAATTTATCTTTGATTTAAGTAGTACAATTTACTTGCTATTTTAGCCTTTACTAGTAACTAACCATTCTCAAGTATTCTTTAATTTTTATCTTTTAGGCTGATTGTATTATAGCCTAACTGTCCCTCGAACATCTCATCATACTCAGAGAGATTACATTAGTCCTCTGGTAATATATTTCCAAATTCTATACTCTAAGATTTAGCTTTCATCGTTTTTTATTTTTTGCTGAAATTGGCAGCATTCTTATCTTCTCTATTTCTGAACTTAGATTACGTTTTCATGTTAAATGGATTTTTTTCATATGCAGCTCCAATACTATCATATTAATCAATAGAGGTTCCTTCCTTAGTCATTAAGCCTCTATGCAACCTTTTGCAAATCTCATCATCCTCCTCCTATTAAGCAGATACTTCAATCTATCTAATAAACTTTTTGAGAATTTGTTAGGTGTCTTGTGATTCAAGGTTGAAATTTGTTTTATTTTTCAATGTTGAGGATTTATAATGGTAATCTTGATCAATAGTGTTAACAATATCTAAATCTTCACTATTAGCTTCCTACTTAAGTTCCTCTATTTGCTATCTATCATTTTATGACTGCAATATACTATGATTTTTGCCAGTTTGATGGTTGGTTCCTTTGTTTCCTATGTAATCATCTAATGTTTAATTTCCTCCGGAGCCTAACTGATCTCTCCATTCTTACTTTTTATCACTTAAATCACCGAATCGCTGCTTCTCATGGTATGAACTCGACAAAGCTGAACTATGGAAGGTTTATAAAATGATCTCAAGACACTTACTCTTGATAAAGACCAGAGTAGGATTTCACCTATTTTGGAGCTTGGATATTTTTCATTTCAGTGACTATATTTAATATTATTATTAGGAAATTATCAAATAAAATTTTTACGTTTTGCCCTTGAAAGAGGATTAAAATAATCAAGTGATGAACGTCCCTGCTCCTGGTTTGTAATGATTTACTCAATAGATTCTTCAACTGAGTTTGATTAGAATGTCTATTTAGCATATTCATTTCCTTCGTATGCATACTAATTGCCCTCTAAATTCTCAATGTTAGAAAAGAGTAAATGTGTAGAATGGCAAATAATTTAAGTTCTATATGAAAGTGATGTTCTTCCAATGAGATTTATATTAAAACACATTGAACTCATTCACATACACGCATATATAACTATTGTATCAGATATAACTTACTTATCATTCGCTTATCTGTTCTCGGATAATAAACATCGTCATATCTTTATGGGCCTCCAAGCATTATATTTGACATTGTTTAGTTATTACTAAAAGGAACTGAGCCAACCCTGCTTATAACTGAACTATCTTGTTTCTGATACATCTAAAGCTTAATGTTATAGTTTATCAAACGAATTATCCTTACTTAGGAGGTTTAATCATTATTCATCTGGTATATTGTTGACTGATTCGATCCTATTTAAGGCTATCCAGTATCCTCAGTAAGAATCATTGATTGTTGGAAAGATTGCTTGACGGGAGACAAGGATATGTCAGCGTTAACACTATAGTAGTCTTTTTTAAAGTGAGTGAACATTGCAAAATATAAAATATATAAATATACTCTTTGAAATTAATTGTTTTATTTAGAACATGATAATCAATTGCTTCTATATCAATGATTTACATTTTAAGGGGTTTTGGGGTTTTGGGGTTTTGGGG